AACGCCCAGTGAGGGTGTCCTGGGCCCTTCAGCGTGATCTGCGGTGCTCAGTGACATCTTGAATGCCTCCTCTTGCCGCCCAGCCCTGGAGCTCTGGGGTGGCCACACCTACTTGTGCACTCCCGGGGATGGGTTGCTCGTCCCAGCTGAGGAGGCCACCCTGACAGGCTGCACATGTTTTCTCTGTGGGCTGGGCCTACCTGCTCCCACCCCCTCTTCCATGCCACAGCCCGTCCCCCAGCCGCCAGCCCCTGGGCTCAGACCCCTACCACCTCGGCTGAGCGGGGTGACAGGGTGCTCTGTCCCAGGCAGGTGCGGGAGGCCACGGGTGTGGACATCAACATGCGTGTGGGCATACACTCGGGGAACGTACTGTGCGGTGTCATCGGGCTGCGCAAGTGGCAGTACGACGTGTGGTCCCACGACGTGTCCCTGGCCAACCGGATGGAGGCGGCAGGAGTTCCCGGGTGAGGCTGCGTGGGGAGCTTAGAGGCTGACCCCGGGCCGAGGGGGCAGAGTGGGAGCAGGCCTGGAGGCAGGGAGGGAACAGTGACCTCGCAGTTGGGGGAGCCAGCCTGGGGCCTCCCCGACTTGTCCCTGCCCTGCTGTGCATCGGGTGGGCGCTGGCCCTTTCTGGGCCCTGCTGTCTGACACGGTCCTCCCCAGCCGGGTGCACATCACAGAGGCGACGCTGAACCACCTGGACAAGGCGTACGAGGTGGAGGACGGGCACGGCCAGCAGCGAGACCCCTACCTGAGGGAGATGAACATCCGCACCTACCTGGTCATCGACCCCCGGGTATGAGGCCTCCCCTGCGCCGACTGGGAGCTCTGGAGACCTGGGGCTCGGGGGCCACCCCGCTGGGGAAAGATCTCCTCAGTGGAGGGAGAGTGCATTTGTCTTCAGGGCCATGGAGGAGTAGGACCGAGGCTGCCCAGGGTGGGAGTGAATGCCCATCGTGGTATGTTCTAGGAGCCACGTAACAATTCCTGGGACCTCGAGGTCCTCCTCTGTGACGTGGGAGTAACAGCAGGGCCTGCCTGGTGAGGCTGAACCTCAGCCCAGCAGCAGGCCCTTAAATGCTTCGGGAGTGACCGTCACTTTCTGCTCCTGCCCCAGAGGTCGTTCCTACTCTCTCCGATTCTTGAAAGAGACATTTGCAAACACGCTTTGGATACAACTCAGGAAAGGGCCAGGGAGTCCCTGGGCGGGAGCCCCTGTGTGTGCTGGGCTCTGATCTGTGTATCTGCCTGGCCAGGGAGGGCCCCCTCGTTGTCCTGGGCCCAGCGTCAGGGAGGTTGTGCCACTGCTCCCGGGCATAGGCCTGTCTGCTTCCTGCCCCGGGCCTACTCAGCCATTCTTTCCTGCTCCACGGAGGCACGTCTGGCCAGTGCTTGGTGAATCATCCTTGGGGCTTGCTCAAGAATGTGGGCCACAGCCAGCCTCCCATCTGCCTCTCACTCCAGCCTTGGCCAGACTACTGGGCTCCCGGGAGCCGAGGCCAGCCTGTGAGCCTCCCCGCCCGCGTCTGTGGAGGTCCCCCAGGACTCCCACGCAGGCCACTCATGCTGAGCTAGCGTCTGGGTACACCTGGCTGGCACCTCGGTTCTGCTCACACCCACTTGCCCTCCTGGAATGAGATCCAGCCCCTCCTGTACCCAGGCTCTGGACCCTGCCCACTCCTGGAGTCCTTTCTCATGCTCTCCTGTCCTGCTCACCCATCCCTGGCGTCTTCCTGTCCTGACACTCCTAGACTCTGTGGGAGCTTGGCC